ACTTCCCTACTTGCTTAGTTCTTAGAGGTTCTTTTCATATTTGGTCCATTTTACCTTTTTTATCTGCCTTATGTCATAATTAAAAAAAATCCCAACAGTTTTTGTGTTTTTCAAGTGATTGTAGGATGTTCTTCTATGCAGGTCGTGGCCGCCCACCTACAGAACCATTGCCTGATGGGTGGATCATGACATTCCATAACTCCGGAGTCCCCGTGTACCTACACCGAGAGTCTCGGGTGGTCACCTGGTCGAGGCCGTACTTCTTGGGAACGGGAAGCATACGGGTATGGGACGCATCAGTCCTGAATTTAGTCTTGCAAATTTGCAGACAAGAATGTGCACACATTGCATCATAGCCAAGCCGAGGCAGGTGAAAGACATCGGATTTCAGACTGGGGTCATCCTTATAATCTATTACAATTTTACTATCCACAGAAACATGACCCTCCTCTGAGTAGCATCCCCTGTCTGCATTACAAGAAAATGAAGGACAACGAGGAAAGGGAGCAAAACAGTGAGCTTTCCCCTAGTGGGGAGGTGTCCCCTGTCAAGCCCCTCAGTCGATCTGCAGAGCTGGAGTTTCCCCTGGAAGAGCCTGACTCCATGGGGGCCGACACGGGGCTCCCAGATGAGAAGGACCCACTGGGGGCTGAGGCTGCCCCTGGGGCCCTGGGGCAGGTGAAGGCCAAAGTTGAGGTGTGCAAAGACGAATCAGTTGGTAAGTTTCCAGAGTGAACTCTTTCCATTTTGCTGCCTTGTACTATCTGCAGGGATGCCCCTACATCCTGTGGGGTCCCCTTCCTTCTGCTGAAGACCATCTGTTCCTAGTTATGTCTGTGAGGAAGGGACTGCTGGGGACCTCTGTCTACCCGCAACATGGCTGGGAAGGCCCATCTCCCTGTTCTTTGGAGAACCGGCCTAGGTCCCACGCTCCAGGCCCCTGCTCCTGGGCTCTGTAGGGCCCATGTGGCCAATGCTGTCATGGAGATGGCTGTTAGTGCAGGCCCCCCTTTTTCTCTAGTCATTTTTATGTTCTTTCCTGAAGTTTTGCTTTTTTTAGTAGGATGTATTCGATGTGGCGTTTTGATTTATCTTGATGCACTCAGAACAGGCTGCTTCAATCCACAGACTCATTGTTGGGAAACTATCACTATTCTGTGGGCATTTCACACTTAAATCCTGCAATTGTGGGTGTGTGTTGGTGTTTTTCACTTCCTCTCCTGTCTTTAAGCTTAGTTTCACCCATTCAAATTTTAACATTTTAATAAACATTTTTTATTATTACTTTTTAAAAGATATATTTTTACTAGAGGCCTGGTGCACAAAATTCGTGTACTGGGGGGCGGGGGGGTCCCTCAGCCTGGCCTGCGCCCTCTCCAGTTCAGGAGCCCTCGGGGATTTCCGACTGATGGCTTAGGCTCGCAGGAGAGGCTCCTGCCACTGCTGCTGCACTCGCCAGCCGTGAGCCTGGCTTCTGGCTGAGCAGCGCTCCCCCTGTGGGAGCACACTGACCACCAGCAGGCAGCTCCTGCTTTGAGCGTCTGCCCCCTGGTGGTCAGTGTGCATCATAGTGACCGGTCGTTCTGCTGTTTGGTTGGTTTGCATATTAGCCTTTTATTATATAGGATTAATTTCAGAGAGGAAGGGGGAGAGAGAGTGAGAGAGAGAGAGATAGAAACATCAATGATGAGAGAGAATTATTGCTCCATTGCTTCTTGCAGGCCCCACAAGGGATGGAGCCTAAAATCTGGGCATGTGCCCTGACCAG